CTTTACAACACTCCACCACAACAGAGTTTCTCCATGTTGCTTCCAACAGTTCTTAGCAGTGCTGTAGTTTACATGATAAGCTCAGCTAATTGCTAATTGCTGCTGGCACTAGTCTGTAGGAGCTGGTGGGAGTCGCTGTGGAGCGCTTCCCTTAGTGCAGCTCAATCATATTTAGTTCTACAACATCCAAAATCGAGTGTTAAGTGTCTTTCTGAAAGTTTTGTTTGGCACACCCTTAACTGCAACTGCACTGAAAGATGCTATGAGCTGAATTATGAACAAGTCATATAAAAACAAAGTTCAGACAAGCTAACGCTAGCTTCCTGCTTTGGCAAAAGTGTTTTCCTGCTGGATTAAACATTGACAGCAGAAGCAAGATATGAGTTTATTGAAGAAGGTGGAGTATTTGCACTTGCATTTTTAATGTTATATTGAGATACTGTTTTTCTGTTTAAAATTAGTAGGAAATTCTAAAACTAGTGTATTATTTAATTAAATGGAAGAAAATACGATATAAAAACTATTCAGTTTTGGTAGTACCCTACATACTTCTGACATATCATACCATTTAACTGGCTGTGATGATATATTACACTTACTGCGAGGGTTGAGGTGGGGAAGTCAAGTAAAGGTGAGGGCTTTAAAAATTCAATGCAAATTCTCAAAGCTCAAACAGCTGAAGCACTGCAGTCCAGATTTACTGTCCTTCTTATGATTTGAAGTTCCATGACCTTTCATTGTGTAATTGTATAGTAACCCTGCTTTTGGACAAAGTCCCAGTTCTTTCAAGAAACTACCACTTCACAGTTTTTACAGTGCATATCGCTCGTTTAAGAGCACACCTGCTTCTTATCAAGTTATATGACTCTGTGGTTTGTGTTTCCACTTCTTTCTTGTTCACTGCAGATTTTTCTATCCTCAGAAGTTAGAATAATCGAGTCCAGACCCCATGTCATTGATGACAAGAGATTAAACAAAATACAAAAAGAACACAAATAACAATTATGTTGTTAATTGCATTCATTTGCAAGATGCACAAGCTGTGGAAAACGACAGAAGCAGCTTACTTTTCTGACGTTTCACCGGCTGGCTGAGGTGCCATCGGCTCTGTAAAGCTTTCTTCTTCTCCACGATTTGATCGAGGATGCTCTACGTTCCTTCTTGACCTGACCTGCAAAGGGTTAAAAAAAATTATAATAATGTGCCAAACACTCACTAGACTCTTTAGCGTCGGCGAAAAGTTGAAAGGCTGCCGATGGTTATAATAAATACTGTGGAAAAAAGAAACAACTATCTTCCGACATCACCATAAAACCCCCAGAGAAACAGGTTTTATCTCTGGAGCGACTCGTGAAGTTTTATGACCTTGTGTCAGGGGTTAAACGTTAGCTCACCTTCCACACAAGCAGGAAGATTAGGGCCAGCAGTGGGATAAACAGTAAGGAGAAAAGGCTTTTCTCCACCACCTGGCGAAGGGGACTTGGCGATGAAGCTGGAATGGAAAAACAGAAAAAAAAGAAAAAGGAAAACTCATAAACCTTTTGCCTCTAGTCAGTACTGGATTTGACATACAGTAGATAAAGAAATCAATTAGTGCCTTTTTTTTTATTGTACAATCGCCCTGTGTGAAATTGTCAAAATGTTCCTTCTGTTAGAGCAAAAATCAGCTAAAACTGTTGCTGTAGAACCACCGTTAGACATCTGGTGTGATGTGGCATCTGGAACCAACCAGTCTGCAGCAGATCTATTAACTTAGATAGATCTGCTAAATTAATAGAAGTGCCATTTAGGTTCCAAGTAGCTGGAACCTGAATGGCACTTTCTCATTTGTCCAGTGAATGTCTCAGATCCTCAGAGCTCTGAAGAAATAGAGAATTTGGTAGACCAAGTTAACACCTACAAAACTGAGGCACTGCTGTTATCTCGTGTCGTTTCGTCATTGGTTTTCGCCTCGTCCTTGCGACCTGGTAGAGCAGATTTTTCAAGCTAACTACTACAGTAAGCTATATTGTAAGCAACAGGGTTTTTTGTTGATGTTCAACTAAAACACTGGTGGATGACTAGGGGATATTTTCAGTAGTCCAACATGTACAGCTTAGCTGACGATAAAGGTAAAGATGAGTCTTTGGTTTTCATTATAAACAACATTAATTTATCTTGTTTATGTTGTGTTTTTTACAGGTTTCCACAGAGATCTTTTCTGAGCAAAAATGTAGGATGTAAAAAACTCCCTAAAGTCGATAGTAAAAAGTTGAAACTGTGCATTTATGTATCATGCTATTCATCCAACACACTGTTGTATTTCTGCCCAGGGTTTTATTTAAGGCATAGATCAAGGTATCTGATACTCAAATTCAAAAGTACTTTATTAACTTCAAAAGGAAGATAGATGTTGTTGTAACTCATTAATTCTTTAAAGAGTTATTGTACATGGTGATTGCACATGGTGATTGCTGCTGGCAGGAAAGATCTCTTGTAGCCGTCTGTATTGCAGTAAATCTCAAAAAGCCTCTGACTGAAAATACTCTGCCTTCCCAAGACAGTCTCATGAAGATGATAGGTCAGGGTTGTCTATAATTTTCCTTGATTTTATGAAGAATCCTTCTTTGCATCATTATCTCCAGAGGTTCCAAAGTCATGAAGCCAAATTTAATTTGATCTCTTGCTAATCCAGGCTGCTATGCATGTTTTTGTATGTAGGTAAAAAAGATGCCATGCAGTTTATGGAATACACAGACAACACTGCATTTGATTTAAAAAAAAGTTATAGCAATAGCCCAACGATTATGTTGCTTAATGTCATGCTATGTTATGCAGACGCTTTGTCTGCAGTGATGAAGATAAATTCACCTCCAGTGGAACTTCGCTACTTTCTTAGGTTTTCCCAAATTGACACTATCTGTCCCAAATCTTTACCTCTCCCAGATTCTTAAAATTTTTCATGACTACAGAAACCAGTCATTCCTTTGCTACATTGCAAAATCCCCCCAGGTGCCACGGAAACAACTTTAACTGAACTTAGCTACCACAGACTTTCTATTCATCCACAGCTGTGGGAGAAGAAAGGCTAAAAGGAGATCATGTGAAGAACACAAAGCAATATTTATACAACAAATACATGTCAAACCAACTCCCTCGCAGTGGTTACATTCTGATATGTGAGCAAAATTCCTCCCAATTCAGAGCAAACGTACACCATTAAAAGAGTCCTAATAAAGTCAGCCTGCAAGCACGACTGGAATGTGTGGAGATGTTTGAATAGGAGAATTGCTGCTGCTAATGTGAAAAAAAAAAAACCTGAAAAAATTTTGCATAACACTGTTGTAACTAAAATATGGATCATAATACCCAACCACTGAGGAAAGTTGAACACCATTCTAAAAGCTAAAAGCTAAAAGCTAACCTAACCAGATTGGAATTAAGTGCTTTTGGGATTGTTTGGTCGGGTGACCAAACAATCCCAAAAGCACTTAATTCCAATCTGGGCAGTTTTCTGGGATGAAACCTTGAAAACCCTTGAATCATTTTTGTTTCTACAGTTGTACAAAATCACAGGCCAAGAGTAAGTTCATGAAGAAAAAGTTGGTCTATCGAAAAGTTAATAAGAGACTTTACCTGATGAGCGCGCTATTTCTTTAGTAGAGATACTGAGTGACGTGTCTTGGCCTGACGTATACTGAGCTGAAAACAAGAAGATAAAAAAAAGGGAGTTCAGGAGACAGCGACAAAAACTGAAGACAAAAGACTGACAGAGTGAAGCATAACTGTCTGATGATGAAAACATTCATTGTTAGGTAGTAAATAGTCACTTCAGAGGTACTCTTTTTATCCCTCCCCCAAACAACACACAAAAACATCTGATCTGGTGGCAAAAAAAAAGAAAAAAAAAAAAAGAAAAGCACTTTGGAAAGATTGGAAGATTGCTCTGTAATCAACACGTATACAATCAGGTTTCAGCCCTTTTCTTCCTTTTAAACACCGCGCTACCTTGGGACATCTTCCCTTAGTCCTGTGACTCAGCCGTGTCTCAATGGGCATTCTAAGCACTGAGGCCAGTCCTGAGTTTTTATCTTGCTGAGTTCTTGTGTGGAAATAATGGTGGCAGATTAAAAGCTTCTCCTAAAAAGCCACAAGAGATCTGCCCTAAATACAGCTCGCTCACAATGCTCCATACCAGGTGGCAGCAGTTTCACAATCGTAAGCAAAGCAGGAGCACGGCTTGCTGCTGGTTAGGATTTGGAGATTAGCTTCAGAGACAGTGGAAATGGAAAGTTCCCTTCAGTGGTTCCGGCGAGATCCCAAAGGTTTTCAGCCAGTTTGTACATTTTGTCAATTTGTTGTGATTTTTTTTTAATTTTTTATATGAAGGCAAAGCAGTTTTAGGACCCAAAAGGGGGGTCCATTTTGGAAGGGCTGTTGGTCTTTGTGCAACAAGCCCCCCAAAAGCATGTAAAAAAAAAAAAGAAAAAAAAGAAATTCACACAAAATGTACTTGTACTCCCAAACTAGTTTTATACCATTCAATTTAATAACAAATTGTTCAAGCTTTATGCATGTAATAACTAGTAACTAGCATTTATTTGAGTAACTTTTTTCCCCCTTCATTTTAGCATTTAAAATACCAGAATTAGCTGATTTCTAAGTTTATAAGCTGACATTATTTTAAAATATTCAATCAGGTAGTCTGGTCAGTTACTCAGTACTTGAGTAGCATTTTCACCAAATATTATTTTCTGCTCCTACTTAATGATACCTAAGTAACTAATAGGATGGCTACTTTTTATTTCACTTGAGTGAAGACATGTTGAAGTAGTGAATTGAAATTTTTGGGTGGTCTAACCTCAAAAGGATAGACCTTTTCTATTTTAATTGTTTAATTGTCTCACAATTAAACAAGTCTAAAAACCAAAACACATGGAGAGTCAATATGAACAGGGGTATTTTTGCAAATTTCACAGATTCCTCTGTCATAAGAGGAACATGACAGAGCTCGTAGAGCTCTTGAACTATTTCTAACATAAACGGGTCTTCTTGAAACATCTTGAAAAAAATAAAAAAATCCTCCTCGAACTCAATGTTGTAGACATCCTTGGACCTCAGGAATGGGTAAACGGGTGCAACTGTTTGGGTGAATACTGGGTCCATGCTGCTGGTAGCGTTCCTCACCGGTTGTGGTTGGGTCCTTCTGTCATAAGGTGTGGGTGGTGGTGAGGTTGAACGCAGGCTGAACTCAGGTTGTAGTGAAATAATGGATGTAATGCTGACAATAATGCACAAAGACAGTCCAGGACAGGCAGCACAGGAGAGAACTAAAGCACACGGCTAGTACCGGTAGCACTGTCGTGAAGTCTGACACGGAGCTTAGTTGACCAGGACTTCACAGTACCACTGGAAAACTCGACAGAAACCGACGCACGTAAGTCAACATTAGACAAGGACCCGACAAGAGACAAAGACAACAGGTGGGTTTAAATACACAGGGAGGGTAATCAGGTAAGTAGACACATCTGGGGAGCAATCAAGAGGGAAGACAGACTCACAGGGGAAAACTAAAACACAGAAAAACCTCAAAAATAACCACACAGAAAACACAGATCATAACATCCTCTCTCTAAATTTTTTTGGGATTTGTAGTTTTTCCCCAAAATATCGTGAAAAATGTGTTTTGTCTTGACCTCTAACATGTTGTACTTTCTTGTCTTGGAACTGAATGCATTCCAGTCGCTGACAATTTCAGATTTAAATGAAATTGTTACGATCTGCTTATAGTCTGCAGTAAGGAAATGTACGACGGCATACTAGAGCCATTGTAGACAGATACAAATATAAAAAAACCCTTTTGAAACTTATATCTGTACATGAGATCTTCTTCTCTGTTTTTTTTCTGAGTCCATAGGATAAAGGATTTACATGTGCTGAGACCCCCTCAGGCCAAAAACAAAACAGTCTGCTCTTTGTTTTACAAGAATTTAGGCCACCATTCAGCTATTGAAGAGGATCAGCCACACACTAAAGCAATGGCTACGTAGGAGAGAGTTTATGAGCTCAAATTCGGCAACAGTCTGAATTAAGATAACCCTCTGAGGTTCTCAAACAAGCAGTTCGGTTCAAGCGTTGTAGTTTACACGTATTCCAGAAAATCCAGCAGGAACATTTCATATGGCTATAAAAATCTCACTTTTGGGAAAACAAACTGCAGCTTCTATTTATGTTCACTAGAAAGGCAGCTTCTTTCTTCCTGGTTTTAAGAACAGTGGATTTATTTACACTACTCAGGGATTTGGAGAAGGTTTCACAGAACAGTTTCATTTTTTGGTTTTTCAAGCAACAAAAGAAAGAAGAAGAAAAAAATGACAGTTGTTGAATTTTTTTCTTGGTCAAGCAAAGTTGGCCTTTTATTCGAGTAGTTAATTTTGAACAGAATACTGATTGTGCACAGCTTTTCAAGAGTGTGACTAGCGCAATATTAATATTATTTCAGAATGGCTGAGCTGGATGTTTTTCAAAGCATCTGGGATTACGAAGGTGCTCTGTTCATTTTAGAATTGTTCATAATTCTGAACTTTCATTCATGAATGCGTTGTCCTGAAGTTGAGTTGAACGTTTATATGGATCACTACTGAGTGAATAAACGTGTTTTTGAAAATTTCAGTCTTTCTTTCTTCCTTTGCTTCTTTCCATCTTTCTTAGCAAATCATAAAGTTCAACATTCTATATGTTAGTCAAACTAAAATAAACCCACACGCTGTAGTTCATCTATGTCATCACACACATAAGTTTTTCCTGCAGAATATTTGTTGATTGTTTCTTATTAAGGTTCACATCTAAGTCACATTTTTCCCTCTAAATACAAGAAGAATGAAGCCGGCGGTACCTGAAGAGGATTCTTCTGTCGGTATCGGTGTGGTGGGACAGGGAGGTGGATCACATTCCTCTTCAGGTCTTTCTCTGTCTGCAGTATTACACACCTCCTCGACAAAGTTAAAGTATTTCCCTGTTTCCCACTTATCATCTCTGTAGTGGCACTCAAACTCTAACATTTGTGTATTCTGTAAGGATGAGAACAGAGGCACTAGCAATTAGTCATAAGTGATAAGGAGAGACAATCACACGCCACTATAAAGTTTTCTAGATAATCAGCAAAGTCATTATTTATATGATAATTAATTATGGGAACTCGCCATATTACTGATTCCTATCCGCTTCTCTTCAATGAATTGGATGAGTATTTGTATGTTGAGATTATTAGATGAAATGTTTCCAAACTTTTCAGATAAATCCTTCAAGCTCTCCTCCAAGTAGTAAAGATTTAACTTTGCCCAACACATGTCGCCCTGGAGGAAAAACAACAACAAAAAGACAGAAAGTCTGTGAAAAATATGCAACAGTTTTAGTAATGAAAGTCACCCCAGGACAGCTGGTATCACTTAAAGAAATCCGGTTAAGAAATGGACACATTTGGGAATTACAGTATGACCTGGGTTGTCTGGAACTGGAGACAATAGAGTCTTCCAGACTGATAGATAAAATATATTGAATCCATCACATCCTATGAGTTTGGAAGTTCAAAGTCAGTTGCATGGCCAAATGTCTTGGTTGTCCCACCGTGTTATTGGTAAAACGTTCATAAAATTTAGGCTGTTGCAATACTATGAGTAACCTGTGATTGCCATAATGCCTCTTTTACAAGTGTTTTTTTTTTAGCTTTCAGTGGTCATAATGTTTGGTTAATGAAGGTTTTTGTTTTTTAAATTAAAGGTATTAAACTCATCCATGCGTTTATCACATTGATTTCTGAAATGGTGTCTTCACAGGTCTGCCTAAAAAAAATCAATCAGCTGATCCAGAACGCTGCTGCTGGTGTTCTGACTAAAACCAGGAGCATAGAGCTCATCACCCGGTTCTAAAGTCTTTTCACTGAGAGAACAGACTTTAAAATAAACTGCTGATAGTTTATAAATCACTGAACAACTTAGAACCAAAATACTTTAAACATTAAAAATACTTGGTTGGTTGATACTTTGTTGCAGCAAAGGTTGTTGTTGTATCAACCTTCCAGAAAGCTCAGGTCTTGTCAGTAAATTATTTTTTTCATTCATTAAAGAATGAACACAAGGAGAGAGGAAGACGACTTACCATTTCTTTGGGAATGAACTTGATGGGGATTTTATAATCTTTTGGAATATTTTGTCTCTGTTGAAACAAAAGTAGCAAAAGTAAAAACATTTTTGTGTTTTATTGAAGACATCCAGAATCCAAAGGTTTACATACACACTTATTTTCTCATGACTGGCATAAAATAAAACTAAACACTTCCTTTTTTAGGGTTAGTTAGGATTACCAAACACAACGCTTCCTCTTGAGACGTCGTTGGACAAGCAAAAGGTGCATTTAGCAAAAATGAAGAGCATCACGAGGGAAGAAGTTTATGTGGAAATATTATAACAACATTTCCAGATTTCTGCCAGAATATTACAACTTGGGCACCAGTGGCTCTCCCAAATAGAAAATGTACAACTTGGTCTTCTAAATCAGATAGAAAGCGGACAACAACATTAATGCTTTGCAGTAGCTAGTAGGGCAGACTACAGACTTGACTCAGTTGTACTGGTTCTGTCAAAAGAAATTCCAACAAACAATTATGAAGAGCTTGAGGCAATAACTATAGGCAATTCTACCCAACACCAAGGAAATCTATTTAAACTTCTATTCTTCATTACTTTGGTATTTACTAAATGGACATAATGTCTTGACTCATGTAAAGCAGGAAATGTTTAGTGTGATTTTATGTACAGAAAACACCAACAGTACCTAATTCATCATTGAAAATGTTGCCTAAACGGTTTAATTTCCAAATCTTACCAAATCAGGGACTCTCCTGTCAATATCATTGACCACTTTTCCAGTCGCAGCTGAATGTACCCCAAGCGTCATGAACAGCAGGAAATGGACACAGACGTCTATCCAACTCTGTGAATCAAGAGAGATAACAATTGGCAATCAGCTGAACCATATCCATGTCATTATGACCAGATGATAGTTAATAATTAAGCAACATGAGGACATTCATTAGTTGTTTTTTTATTATTTCTTCTGTCTCACGTACACAGTGATGATGTCGATGTTTCAGAGACTTTTTTTTGAAAACACAAACTATTTTTTATTTGAATTTAGACCTAAAATATAATAATTTTTTATTATCAATCATTAGTTGCAGGACAGCTAGTGCTTCCAAAAATAAATAAATAAAAAATAATTAAAACATTTATACTAAAAATATGACTTTTTAGCTCTTCCCACCCAAAACTTTTGCATTATTTTTTTAACCTAACAAGCGAATCAGCAGGTTTTCCTCTGTGTCACCAGGGTCAGAGTGGAAAACAAGTGTCATATTTGAAATCACTCAAATATCTGCTGGCTTCCTCTTTGGGATTAGATAATAGAAATAACATGTAAAAATTGACCACAGGAGTGAATTGGGGAAATTGTGACAATGTAAAATAAAATAAAACAATAAGACACTAAACTCACAACTCAGAAGTGTAAATTTATTCGGTATAACTTCGATCGAATTGGAAAATCTTTGTTCACTTCTAATACAATCTGTCATTTTAATTGACCTGCTTTTGGTTGTTACCTTGACTGAATAGTAATAAATGATTCTCGACTAGCTGCTTATGGACGATGAAAGAAACAAAAAAAAATAAACCTTTCACAGGGTTTATTTAAAGCCGTCCTGTGGAGCCTCTAACAATGAATGACATTCTCATTGTGAGATTGCTGCTTTGGGGTTTTAGGCTGACGTTCCGAATGACAATGCATGGGAAGCACAGACCAACAAAAGACTACAGATAGTGCAGATATATTTAAACAGAGCTATGTTTTTAGAATTTGATGTTGTTTTGAGGAAGGAAAGGCTTTGAATATGTTTGAAGGAGCGACTCCCCTTTAGCAAGGCCAGGTAACGTAAACACGTCTATCAACTGATACTTTAAAGGCTCATCAGCAGAAAGCCGCCATTGGCTGACCTCTTTTCTGATGTCAGCGCCAATCCGACAATATTATGCAATGGACCTGCAGTTGTTCTCTTAATATAGATCAGGGCCAGTCACCGTCTTGCCCGAGTTAGTTCGGGAACCTTGAATGGCAACCAGCTCCATGGCAAATGCAGCTTTAAAGTGCTCTAAAGAGAGTGGAATTAAGAGATCATTGTTGACTTAACCACAGAACCAGGCTTCAACAGGCGCAGCGGCGTTCATCGCCGCAGTTTATTTGGATTAAGATTTTCTAATCATGCTGTCTCTTTGGTTCTCGTGAGGATAAACTAGAACCGAGAGAACAAAAGCTGTAGAATGTTTCACACAAACTGCAGCTCCCAGATTGCCAGCTCTTTCTATATGTTTGTCAAGCCCAACCAAAACAGGAAAGGAAAGAAACAATGCTCCATCAAGAGCAGGAAAGGCTAACGGAAAGGCATCATGTAAAAGGCAGATGGGGTGCAGAGGCTTTCACCTCAGCTTCAGCTTATCCACTCAAATCAACAGACGGAGATGAGTGGACGTGAGTGTTATGGGTGGGAAGCATGGGAAACAAATGGGCAAAGTCATTTTGTTCTTTATGGTGAAAAAAAAAGTTCACCGCCAAATTGGTTGACCTGTACAGAGTTTGGTTCACAAGGAGACCAGGCATTGTTCAGTGGAAACTGAACAATTATCCAACATCACCTAAAGGCTTTTCAATAGCAAATAGGAGTGGAAGAATTTGATGACATATATAAATAAATAAATATATATATATATATATATATATATATATATATATATATATAAGCAGACATGGGAAGTCTTTGCAAAGCATTCAAGAAAAACACAGATTGAATCCAACCAATGTTACTTATGCCTGCTGTTGAAGTCAACAAAAAAAATTAAATACATGAAATTCAAACTACATATTCTTTTGTGTATGCTGACAGAATGGTATGTTCTCAGTGACGTTGAGGCGTGAGGCGTCTTATGTCCTGGTTTTTTGGAACCGTCACAGAGTTTTTTTCAACGATTGACACTGAACCTTCAGCTATAACAGAACGACTCAGTCTTTTATAGACCAAACAGTGGAGGCCTTTTTGTGCCCCAGAATTAATGAAGTATCTGACAGTGAAGACAGTGTAATGTCTCCAGATTAAAAAAAACACCTTATGAGACAGCAATGCCATCAGAGTGAGGGTTCTACTGGGAGTCCACTTAAGATAACGGAAATCCCATTGGTCCGATGTTGGAAACATTTGGTTCATTTGTATATGTTTCGTCCCTCTACATAGATATGTCAAAAATATGCCACATGTACTGGAAAATAGCCAAAGAAAAGCAGCTTGCTACATGCAAACACACAATGGGGCCCACATCAAGCTCCTTCAAGTCCTTAAAGTTGACTAGTACGTCTATGAGACGCTGCCTCTTCACTCACTGTTTTGACACTACAGGACACCGGCAGCTGCTTCACAGGCAATCCAGGTTTGAGGAACTCCAGTGCTGCAGTGACCCACATTGTTTAGATGTTTCCCTTTCTGAACACGTTCCATGTGAATAACCGATTCCACATTTTCCTGCCCTCTTAAACTGGCACTTGGAAAAGTACTCATCATCCCGACTCCCCTTATGACGGATCGTTTTTCTACAATGAGTGATGAGATTTTACAGGTGTTTTGGAAAATCTTCATTCATGTATTTTCCAAAAATAGAGCAAAGATTTTATAGAATCAGTAGTCGGTGGATTTCTTTCTTCTTACCCCAAAAAAAAAAAAAAAAAACACTGAAAATGAGACCGCTTTATGTTTTCACAGCTGAAAGGAGAAAGTAATATAGGAAACTGTGCTAGCAGTCTGGACAATGAACAATTTTTATTAATCAACTATGTCGACACAGGGAAACACAAGAACTACTTCCTTCCTTACTTCAAATTAAGAGACTCAAACAATTACAAGAAGATTAAAACTTGATGAAACACTCAGTGCTTATGATATCATAAGCACTGAGTGTTTATGATATCATAAACACACCAATTTCCACCAGCTGGAAATTGGTGCGACCAACAGCAATGGTCGCACCAATTGCTGTTGGTGCGACCATAGATATCCTTTGCTGTTATGTGTCTTAACTTATTGTATTACTCTGTAGACTGCTTGAAAATAAATCATTTTAACCACATGACAATTTCAGCTGATATAAATATCCAGTATCATATTGATGTTATGGCAGATAACCAACAGTTACTAACATTTACATTCATATTGAAATATTTTATTTATATTTCAATACCCATTTTGACAACCACTGCTTCTTTGCTTCAGTTAAACACCCCATAATCCTTTGCTGCATTACCATCACTGTCACATGACCAAACATGATCAACCTCCTCCTCCAGTCTGAGTTATGCAAAACTGCCATTTGTGAGTTGGTGTGCCATATCTATATTACTACCATATAGAAAAAGATAATGATCAAAACAACAACCCCGAGAAAAGCCATAATTTTCACACTGACTGAATGCACACCATTGTTTGGTCCCAATAAAACCTAATTTCTGCTATTTTCTCTTTGTTTTAGAAAAAGCACCGAGGCTGACCGCCACTGACACACCACACTGGAATGAGGAGTTAAGTCAGGAGTTTTTATTTGCAACGGTTGTTTCAAAGAAAAATTGACTTCAAAAGGAGCAGACTCTCATTCCAAACAGCTGGAAAATAAACTCGGAGAAATGATGGGAGTAAACAGTTCCTGCTCAAAAATCCACCAGCGGAGCTGCTTTCAAACTGTTCTGCGAAACAGAGGGAACCAGAGTTGTTCCACAATTTTTGGAAAGGGTATACGGCATTTACTGCCAAAACCTGAGGAACAGATTGGCACAACTACTGGGTTTAAGGAAAGCAATCACTTTTTTTTCCCTTTAAGGATGTTTTCTTTGCCCAACATTAAAACTTGTTCAATGATCTGAAACATGTACAGTAAGTGTGATGAAAACCAAGGCAGAAGCAGAAAACATTTGTTAGCATGTCGATACTTATTCACGGCACTACACACACCGCTTAACATCACATTGTGCAACTGTTTTGAAGCAATTTGATCTTACAACTGAACCACAATCACCCATCCAAAGACAAGCTGAATAGATCTTCCAACACCTACAAAATATCAGTGGTGTGTCTTTCACAAATTGAGTCAATTGGCTCAGTTAGCCTGAGTTTATACCGCTGGAAGAATTGCAGATGTGAGTTGTTAGCAGAGAATCCCTGTTATTACTCTTCTTAAGCTAATGGTGATCCCCGTGTTTTTTTTTTTTTTCTTTTGCGAGAGCAAATAAAGCCGAGCTAAATCACCTGGCTTCGCAGCGGGATCTGACATGAAAGGTGAGCGATGGCAGCGGTATCGGCCACCGCCGCTCCTCAGGTTTTTAAGAGACAGATTCCCAGCATGCGAACACAGCAGCAGGCTGGAGAAAAAACCCCCCAAAAAAACAATCATATTAAAGGAGCTGTGCTGACTACAAGCCTGAGGTTCAATTCTCCTCAGACCTCCCAGTGCTGACAAGTTATGAAGTGGCTGTCAGAAACACGTGTTCGTAACATTTGGTGAGCTGATAGGCCCGGAGGAGCAGAGCACTGGATTAAATTTTGTAACTATTTAGCGCAGGCTTGCGCTTTCCAAAAAAACATATCTATCTTTAAAGCACAACTGATGGTCCAGTGAAACGGAAGGAAAGTAAATGTTTTGATGATCCCACTTAGTGAGTCTGGAAAGGGCCTAAGCCAATGCTTTTCTACATCATGGAATAAACATTAGAAGATGTAACATGTTCTTCTGCTGTCAAAGCCAATAAAATCTGATTATATAGTAAATGGGGTATAAATCTTGTAGCAGAAAAAAAAGAAGAAGAAAAGATTCCCTAATGGCAGCATTCCCAGATTTGGATAAAGT